GATACAATATGAAGTATCTCAGTATCACTCATGAAAATTCAGAAGCTCAAACTGAATTCTCCATATTGCCCCCTCCCAGGTAACCCAAAGATCAGCTGTAGGCAAAAACAACACAAAACAAAACAAAAAACTATTAGGTTTCCATACTTTAGAAGTCAACAAATTTTTTCAATAAAGGGTCAGAGAGTAAATATTTTAGGCAATAACGCAACTCTGCCATCATAGTGTGAAAAGAACCACAGACAACACATGACTGTTCCAACCAAACTTGGTTATGGACACTGAAATGTTTCTTTTAACATATATGTTTATTGATTTCAGAGAGGGAGGGAGAGGAAGAGAGAGATAGAAACATCAATGATGAGAGAGAATCATTGATCGTCTGCCTCCCGCATGCCCCACACTGGGGATCTAGCCTGCAACCCAGGCATGTGCTCTGATGGGGAATCGAACTGCAACCTTCTGGTCCATAGGTCGATGCTCAACCACTGAACCATGCCGGCTTGGAAAATGTAAGTTTCATATAATTTTTATGTGTCCTGAAATATTGTTTGGTGCACAGGAAACACTAATAATTTTTTCAGCCATTAAAAAAAATGTAAAACCCATTCTTAGTTCATGAGCCATATAAAATCAGGTACTGGTCTTAGTTTTACAACCCCTGCTTTAGAAAACTTTTCTCTAGAAGTAACCACTACCTTGTTCTGAGTTTGTGGTTATCTTTATGTGGGGCACTGATGCTGGATTTAAAAGGAAAAAAAGCATAACTTAAAGATATCTCTTGGCTATTCTCGAATATATTATCTTTTTGGCCATGATGGAGCTGAAACAAGTGTGTAAGTTTAGAACTGCAAGAGTATACAGAAATTCTCTTCTAAAATGTTCTTATTTACTGTCAGCCTTAAGTGATATGAATGTTTATAGTTTTATATTCTTATCTGTCTATTTTGAAGTTTGATAACTATTTCTTGTATTAGAAAAGCTGTTGTAGAAGTAAAGAACAGTGCTTAGAATTCCTTAGATATTAAAACATTTTTAAAATGCCATTTTCTCCTCCCGAGTTCTTGTTTTAAATATTATTGCTATTGGGTCACTCTGGGTGTGCCTCTTGCCTGTCAGTCCATCCACTTATCCATCCATCCATCCATCCATCCATCCATCCATCCATCCATCCATCTATCCATTGTTGAGAAACTTCCCTTCCAGCATCCCAGAACCCATCAGGGCTGCCCCTCCTTCCTGTTCCACCCTGCAGTCCCTCATCCTTGGCTCAAGTCTCTGGGGCTCTTCCCTCTCCCGTGACCCTACCTCTTTGTCTGATTCTTTGGCTTCTCCAGTCCCACCCACTCATCAACATCCATCTTCGGTCTCCTTCATCAAACCTTCCTGGTTGAGCTCTGGCTCATGGATTTTTCTCTCTTCTCCAAATTCCCACAGCACTTGGCCCAGAGTACACAATTTAGCACTTAATTATACATTGTCTTTTATTGTTTGTTTTTATTTGTTGTGTCAGTTTTGTCTTTTCCGGTGAGGTTGCAGACTCCTTGAAACAACACATCTTTATTTTTTAAAAAACCCCTTACAGTACTCTTGGAGGGGCACCACCAATATTCCCTGTTCTACAGAAATAGTTGATTGATAGGCACAGATGTGAGACTTTCTACCCATCTCTGTAGTATCTGGTGCTTAAGAAATATCTGTCAGAACCTGGATGGAGATCCTGGATAGAACCAGGCGAGAGAACCCAACCATGCTGATCAACTGAACTCTGCCTCCGTGCCATTCCTTCTTCGCCGACTCTGTCCACACCTTTGGGAACTTCCCCCTGG